CCCCAAAACCCCAAAACCCCAAAACCCCGTGGAACTATAATAAGCAATTGGAATTTATGAAATCAAGATATATATTTGATAATCTAGGATTCAAATAATCTATGAGGATTTAGCGTTTGGCATGTCAGTAGACAAGTTCGCCTACTCCATCATTATTTCCGTTGTTAAACCTACTTTTTCCTTGCTGGATTCAAGTTCCCGCACTGACTCAATTTTGTATTTGTCTAGCATGCTCTATATAACTCTTTAGCCAACGCTAATATTTGTGATAAGTTCTGGGGTTTCTTTCTCATCTCTATTTATTGGTGATAAAGGTGGAATGTTGTAGTCAAGCTAGTTAATGTCTATTCTTTGTGTCGATACTTTATCCATGCCATCCGAACACTCTGTAGGTTGTTTACTAATATTCAATTCTACCCTTCTCATTTTGACTATTTTGGATTTCTATTTGATCTTGTTATTTTTCTTGATATTTTCTTTAAGCCTCTCTCTCCAAACATTCTTTGGTTCGTTTCTGGAGTAAGTATCTTTGACTAGCTCAGTTTAGATGTCATAATTGTTTATGTTCTTTTTCAGCACATCTTCAATCTTTTACTCAGTAGCTCTAATATCCTCCTTAGTCTGTTTCTAGTTAATGATCAGACTTAGTTTATTTTTGTAGTAAAGCCTTAAGATCTACTTATCTGAGTATTTCAAATCATTTATGTCACTTGATTGAGAATGATGTAAATTAGAATGCTGTTCTTCTTAAATATGGGAAATATCTGTAGGTCTCTCTAGAATCGACATTTTATTTTAAATACCAATACTCTAGCTCTTATAATGATTCTGCATGTCAATTGATAGATTTTTCTTCATTGGGAGTCTGATGAATTTCTGAGGAGCTTTCATTTCAAAATTCACACTTAAATTATTTTGCTTGATTTATCCCTGACTCATCATCCGCCTTCTCAGGAAGTTCTGCCGATGATTAATGACAGTAGGCTATGGCTGCTAGGATTCTTATGAATCATTTCTGAAGAGTTTCAATTCAAACTTGATTTCTTCAATTGGAAATATCTACGGAGCAATTACCTCAACACTTTTCTTTTCTTTATTAGTCTCTTGCCTATCCATAATGTATTTATTTTGCTGTGTCAAAGGAGTCATCTAGGGAGTTTACTTGTAAGAAGAAGGATTTACATACTGATCATTTTTAAGACTTTGCTCCCTTACAACTCTGCTTATCATCATAGGACTTGTAATAGGTGTAGCAGTATGAGCTAGTGAAGATACTGTATGCGAATTAATAGGATTGGTGTTTTTATGGCTATAAATTTTAATAGGCTTCCTCATCTCGTCCTCATCGTTAAAGATAAAGTCAAGTGCGCTTTCCATCTTACCAAAGTATACCTCATCTAATATCCTATTATTCTTTGTCATTAGCTTCAGGAACTTGTTTTTAATTTCTTTGGCTCTTGCCTGCTTATTTATAGAGTCAGATAGTGAGTCCAATTACTCTTCATCTTAATTTTCTAAAGCTTGAGATACCTTCTTTTGAGCAGGCATTGGAGGTAGGCCTGAGTTTTCTTTTATGTTAATATGCTTCATTGATTATCTAGTTCCGTTATCTCTTAGAGATATATTGTTAGGTGATGAAGCATTCGATTAAATGCTTTCTAATGATCTATCTCTTAATCTCACGTTTTTCATCATGATTTTCACTCTTTGCTCGATTTCCTTCGCATCTTATTTCCTCTTTTCTAGCTCTTTAAAACTGGGATTCGTCATTCTCTTGATATTTCTGAGGTCTAAGGTCCCATCAAAATTGATGATATGCTTATGCAAAGTGACATAGAAACTGTAGCAGTTATAGCATACTCTTATGTTCTTAAACTTTTATTCTAGTTCCGTGTTTAAAAATTCCCAAGTACATTTCTAACTCTTTTCTAACACTTTATGAATTTCAAAAAGTGAGAGGTTTAAGTTTTCCCTAAGCTTCATTAGTTCTTATTTGATAATCAGCTCTTCCTAGTATTTATAAATGATGTCCTTGTCTAGAATGATAATAGCGTTGGGAATATAGTATTCAAAATTCTAAATCTCTGGAAGTAATTTTACATTCCTATGAATGTCAGTTGCTTGTTTACTTCTATCTTTGAGCTTTTAACTGTACTTTTAGAAAATAAACTCAGGCTCATCAACACCACCTTGACCTTTAATATGGTCATTGCGCTTTGATATTTTATGTACTAATTCCTAATGAAACTCAGGGATGTCTTTTCTAATTTAAAAGTCTTCGATCTTGCAATACTAACCAGAGCATTCAAATTTTATTGAGTTTTTTACAGCTATACTCTAGGCTATTTAAAAAGTAGCATCAATAGATCTAGTGTGTCTCTATCTTACTACTTTATCAAGTTTATCAAATACTATAGAATCTTTTTCTAGATCTTTAATAGTTGCATACTTTATTTAAAGCAATGTAAATTTGTTAGTAACAAAGTCAGTTGTAAAATCTAGCACTATATTTTCAATTTGCTTTGCTTGCTTTTATAGATATCTAGAGTCAATGAAATGCTTAAGTTCTGCTGCTTAATCCAAGATGCTTCTATATGAAGCATACGCTTCGTTAGTTATGTTAAGAATAGTGGACTGTTTGAAGTAATCCTCTTCCATTAAGTATTATTGTTTAATGACAGCATACTAATCCAGTTCATCCTATATGTAAGTCTGATTATAGAACAAATCATATTGATCTTGTTATTCATCTTGGCTTAATTCATGCACCTTCATGTCGATCGGAACTTTGAAGAATAATCCATAGACAGAATCATCTAGCATTTCCTTATATACTCTAGGTTAATTGACGACCTCATCAAACTTAGAAACCTAATCAGATTCATCATCGAATCCATCAGTGATTGTGTTTTTTTCTAGACTGTCATTTACTGGTCTCTTCTTTTCAATGTTTCGCTTATTGAGATAAGTATTACTCATAAGTATGTTCTTAATAAATAACTTATCCATTCTAATAATAGGATTCCTGCTCATAAATTATTTGCTTAGGTTATTGTTATTATTGATCTTTAAATTGCTTCCGATGGGTGGTTACTGAAAGCTCTAGCTCTGCTGATGTAATAGGGATTTGATTTTCCTTTAACTCATAAACTTTCCATCGTTTTACTGTTTGCTAGCAATCGAATACAGCTATATTTGTTATTGCAAAAATAGCATACCCTAAAATTTTCATAACTCTAATACTCAATTCTAAATATGCATGGATTGAATCCCCTATTTGGTATATATCTCTGGATGATAAAGTTACCTAACATAAAAATGATAAGAAATTATGAATAATATGGTGTGTGGGTTTTTATTACTTACTTTTTTAGTAGTTTTTATTGAATCTCTCGATTAAAGAATTGATAAAGAAGTCTAATTTGGTATCGTTATCATAATCATTGCTGAATTTAGTGACCGATATGGGATAGATGCAATTACTGAATTTCATCTTAGCTTCTGTTTTTTCATAAAAACTAACAGCCAAATCATGGAGAAACTCTGGTTTGACTGTTCTCGATCTTACAAACCCAGACTCATCTGTGTACAGATAAGAAATGGATGAGTCATAGGTGCAAATGATAGTTTCAGGTATGTCAAGCTTTATATTGCAACCAAACTGTCTAGTCAAGTCCTCCAGAGCCATGAAGGTTTTCATCAGAATCGGGAAGGGTAGCGTGTTTGCTTTTTTAATCATTTGCTTGTAGGTAACCTATTCTACCATTTTTAACGCTTGCTATTCACTAAATGGCAGACTTTCCTTTACTGATATTTAGGAATTATGCTTCTGTACTTTCCCTGTAAAGCTACTCTTCACTAGATCTAGCATTCCTTTAATTTCATTTTGGGAAAGTGTATTTGAATTGCGACTATAAATAAGAATTAGATAAATAGAAATGCTACAAATTAGACATTATTGACAATATTTATGTAGACAGGTATTTATATTTTAATTTAATTAATGATTATAACTATAGACTTCAGATTAATCTTAATTATTAGTTTGGTCCCTTGTTAAGTTATTTAAGATTTCATAAATATACTGGTTTTTCAGAAGAGTTTTTCGACTATTTTTATAGGTTTGGATCCGTGACTGATTGATTTAGGTACTATTTGTGTATTCCTCTGGCTACCAGATTTATTTTAGGCAAGTGCCTTTCTAGGGATATTGTTTTCTTTGTCCCCGTTCATTTATTCGATTTGTCTTTTATGATTAATTTTTCCCTTACTAATTTTAGAACCACTTTTGCCTGCACTATTTAAACTTTTTAATGATCTTTTTGGTGATATGCCGTTATTAGAATGCATTGAATTTTTATCTTAATCTCCTTATCTAATTAGCTAAGCTGCATCAGCTACAGACTTGAACATTTTTCTGTTAGTTGGCCTCATTTAAATCTTAACTTCATTATTTATTTGACTTTTCATAAGCTTAGTAAAGGAGGCCATCATAGACTGTACTGTAGTCAACTTTAGTGCTGGATCACCATCAACCTTATTAGATTGGTGGGGTGTTTATAATTTTTATTGTGACTTGGTGTTATTACTCTAGTTCTAGAAGCTGCTACTGCTAAAGCTATTTTTTATTGTTCTTGAACGACAGCTTTAAGTAGACGCATAAGAAATGTTGCTTTTACGCTTACAGCTAGCAGAGCTAGAGTTAACTGACTCACTTGTAGGTATTGCTATGTTAGACTTGGATTTATCAGTTTACAGCTGTGGCCCATTCATATGCTGCAGTAGAGATTACTTACTTTAGATTATCCCCTCTAGTTTAAATATGGTATCTCTTAGCTTTTAGATATCGTGCTAAATCTATGAAGTATAATTTGGATCGATACTGCCATTTTATATTTCCTTAAGAGTCTCCTTATCAAAAGTTTGTAGAAGAAATTGAGATATGTCTTAATTACTTAGAGTTGCTGGTTTCCGACTCAGAGCTGAATTCTGGGTTGAGAACCCATCTGGTTGATCCTCTTCCTCATAAATGATCTCATTTGCCTAATATTGTTCTTATAGTCTTCGCTGCTTATCTCTAATGTATTACTCTACATTAAGGTTTCCATTAATAAGATTGGACAGTATTTTACTGTTATCATTGCCAGTGAAATTTCTCTTCTACCTTTTTTACGCCTATATAATTTGATTTTATTATTGCATCAAGAGCTAGACTTGCTGCTGCTGATACTACTATTATTAATGTAATAAGTGTTGTTAAGGGTACTGATTACTCTCTTCTTGCAATTAGATATTTTCAAGAGAGCTGTATGTTAATTAGTCATCTTCTATTTATATGCTATTTTATAATTAGCCTTCTACTCAAGAGTGAAATTATTAATCATTTGGGTTAAATTCAACGCTAAGTGGTTCTTCATTCAAGTATTAATCTCTAATCATTATCGTTCCGCTGCAGTTTGAAGAAGACCTGCCTTGATTCAGAAACTCTTGAAAACTCTGATCGATTTCTTCATATATCATATTCTCATTTCAATTTATGCAATACCCCTCTTCATCTAGCTAGTCTTCATCCTGAGGTTCTTCTAAATACTCATCAGGCACACCTAAATTTATGAATATCAGATTTTTGCAAACTTTTATTCTTTTCTTTACTTACTCATATTTACGAGGTTTTCATCCTCAGTAGGGAAACTGTCAAGTTACTCTGACACCTCAGTCTGTGATAGCACATAGCCACTTGATCCAATTATTTTAGGCAGAAGAGGAATTGATATACATCTCTTTTGAGATTGCTATTTGAATTCAGTTGACATAATGCAGATTTATAAAATAGTTGTTATTTAAATAACAGTTTCCTAATACACTGCTTTTTTAACATAATGGGGTTTTGGGGTTTTGGGG